CATCACCCAGTGACAGTTGAAGAGCATGCTGGGGTCTAGCAAAGAACTGATGAGAACTTGTTGCAGTGTGAGGAGCAGGGGTTTTGTTCAAATTTTGCAAAGGGATTAAATCACAGCAGGGGGACGTGGCTGCTCCATACATCTCAGTTCTTGGGATGTAACACAGGTTGCCCAGAGAAGCTGTGGCTGCCCCATCCCTGGAAGTGTCCAAGGCCAGGTTGGACGGGCTTGGAGCAACCTGGGCTAGTGGAAGGTGTCCCTGCCCATGGCAGGGGGTGGAATGAGATGAGCTTTAAAGTCCCTTCCAACCCAAACCATCTAAGATAAAGCCTGTGCAGTCAGTCCTTGGAATGCTGGCCCTCGAGCAGTCAACGCTGGGAGTTTTGGAACAGAAACTGAGCAGTTCTGTGCTCTGTTGCTCCATCATTCATTCACTATTCCCAGCAGAATGCAACTGCAGGGGCAGAGCAGTGGCTGGTGGGTGGAACCTGCTCTAAGATGGGGAGGGGATGCTGCTCCATGTGGAGCACAGCTGGGAGTCTCCAGACGACTCTGCTGCTGGGGGAGCAAAGCTCTGGATTTCCCTCCTGGGCAGGTGTCAGTGGAGCAAATCCCAGAGGGATGGGCTGGGTGTGGCTGCACCTCTGCACACGTGATGAGAATTCAGCACTGCTGTTAAATATCTTTTCATTTATCGCTTTCTCCTCTCGGAAATTTGGTCCCAGGGATGATCCTGTCGGCATCTGGGAACTCACTGAGAGTGAGTTGCCCTGACAACCGAGAAACACCTCCCCTAGTGAGCGGCACACAGAGCCTGCTGTTGGCTTGATTATCTCTTCCTGGGAGATGATGTGGGTTTCTCCCTCCTGGAGCTGTGCTTGGGGGATGGCAGGGGGTGGCTGCAAGTTTGGGCAGGTTTGGCTCCTGGTGTTGGTTTTCCATGTGGGAACAAAGCCAATCTCACCGAGCTGAGTGTTGCAAACAGCAGCAGGGGAGAAGTGGTGGAGGTGGGTGATACAAGGTGTTAAAGCAGTAACATCATGTCAGGTAGCTCATTACACCACAGAGACCCAGGGTAGGAAAGTGAATTGTGTATGTTCTTTCAAATTCTTCACAAGTTTTATTGTTTGTTGGCTAATGTGGAAAATTAACAATTCGGTCTCTTTTTGCTCGTAATTTGTAAGATTCTCTAATATAGATGTAACTGGAGGGCAGAAGAGCCAATGTTCAGATTTATTGTTTTGTCCTATTAGAGTTCCTTCACAGTGAGAAATCAGAAAGAAAGTTATGGAAAGAGTCAATGAGAATATGTATTGTGATTAAAAATTCACTGCAATGATGAATTCCTATTCCCTAAATCACTTTTGTTTCTTCTTTGCATCACACTTCTCATTAAGTTTTGGAAAGATTTTTTTTCATATTTAATTAAATGTATAATTGTTACTCTTAGATTAAATATAAATTGAAAGCATTTTTACTGCAAAACCTGAGATATCTTTTCCAAAAAGCACATGTCAAATTCCAAGAGACTCTCCAGTGTAACACACTGTAATATCTGTAACACTCCGTGGAGAAGTGAATTTGGGCTGAATATATAAGTTATTTCTCACCTGTGGTTTCAGGGTAAAAGAACTGGCCGAGATAAGGTGCGTCCAAACCAGAGGAAGTAAGATGATGTGCATGTCTTGTTTTCTTTTTAGATTAACTTTTCTGCTCCCAGTGCAGACTAATTTCTCTTTAACATTCTGTTTTCCTGGTTGGTTTGCTGCAAGCTGGCTGCATTGTAACAATATTGTGGTTTTGTCCAAGATAATAATAAGCCAAGCAGTTGGAATGTAAATTGAAAATTAACCCAAGGCCTGAGATGCCATCTTCAACTTCAACAAGTTTTAATATCCATAAAAAATAAGGGGGGGGATTCAAGGGGGATTCAAGCAGGATTCTGTGATTTTCAATTTTAGTCATGATAGGAAAGGCAAAATATCATTGCTCTTTTCCAATAAGCTTTTATGAATCATTTGAGTTTATGTCCCTTCTGTAGCTGCAAAACTGGTTTTGCTCTGGCAATCTGGAAGAGTGTGTTGGCTGCATGGCATTTTCCCTCTGCAATAGTCAAGATGTTTCAGATACAAAGCTCATTGTGGAGCTCAGCGAAATGTGTGGAAATTCCCACTGTGTTTTCACTAGGACCTTGAGCCAAAAAGCAGTAAAAGGAATTCATATTCTAAATGTGAAAAACTATTTTGCATGCTAATAAACAACTGGTCGGTGGCCGGGCTGAAGGGGAATAAGGACCTTTGATAAGGATGTGACCATTTAACAAGGTCATTTAATTAGGCAGTCCCACTCTGGGGCGTGTGCTTTCGTTGAGTCAGCCTGGTTGTTCTCCAGCATTTCATGGCATTCCATGTTCCCAGGCTTCCTTACACAAGGTTTGCAGCAGGATTCTCTCTTTACACCCACCAGTGCTTGTGCAGTGTGATAAACAGGATCATCTCCTTCCCTTGCCACAGGTCACTCACAGCTCAGCACAGTCCAGCAGCTCCTGCCTGTGCTGACCTTCTGCCTGGACCAGGCAGCACAGAGCCTCCCTGACCAAACAGCAGGAATCCCGAGTTCTCCTTAAAAATCCACCATATGGAAAAAGAAATTGTCAAATTGAGGGTGACATCTAATTTAAAAAAGGATTAAAAGAAGTGAGAGGAGCATGTCTCTGTTGCTCGTTGAATCTTAAGTGTTGCCTTGCAAAGATACAGAGAGGCCTTGGCTGGGTTCTTGAATATTATTTTAAGATCCTGCCTTCAGATCCTGACAACTCCATCCCAAAAAAGTGAGTTCAGTGCCTCCAGCTCTGGGGCCAGCAGCAGGCACAGGAGCCTGCTGGTGAACCTGCCATGCTTTCCTTTGGGAAATGTGCTGGAAACACGTGGTGCCCGGGATCGCAGCGCTGCCGAGAGCGCTCCCTGCCTGCACGGCAGGTTTGTACCCCAGAAAACAAATGGCCTTGGAACAAAATGTGATTTGTTGTTTCAAATTCTGTATTTTTTGAACAAGCTGCCAGTGACCTGCCCAGTGGGTTTAAAGTACAAGACATAAAGCTGGTTGTTATCCATTCAAGGCCTGATTTGGATCTTCAGTACCCGGTGAAAAGGCGGATATTGAAATTGCTTTTTGTATCCCAAAAGCAAGATCTTTATCTGAGATTCCACGTGCCAGAGCATCACAAAGACATGGCCAGCAAAGCTGCTCCTTTGAACCACGTCTTCATCTTGTACAAAGAAAGGATATTGGAATTTTTCTTTTTTTTAAACTTGTTTGCTTATGGCTCAATCTTGTAATTGTGGCCTCTGTCCTGCCAAAGTGCTCCATCACAGCTCCTGGATTTGTCCCAGCAGCTGGATCTGCCGTGGGATCATCCCTTGCAGACTCAGGGATTTAGGTTGACACCCAGGACTGGCTCTTCCTGAACATTTGCACAGCACATGATGCTCATCAGCATCTCCAAGTGCTGCTTTCACGCAAACAAATAATAACATTGGTGGGAAAAAAAATCCACATTCTAAGCTGTAATACAATTTTTTTTAATAAAGAGATCTGAACTTCCAAAATTCCTATTCCTGTATCAGGGTATAAGATTTTCTGTGCTCATAAAGTTGCAGGAAGAGTCATCCAAGCTGAATATGGTTTTTCAGTGACATGTGGGTTTTTTGTCAGATGATCATTTGACATTACTGCCTGCAGGAGTAGAGAGCTGCAGTCCATGAATTGAGTCATCCCTTTCAATCTTATGGTTTTAAACTTCTCTGGGGAGGGCAAAGTTTGTAACTTCCACTTTCCAGTGAGGCTACCAAAGGTGTTTGCCAGGCCAGGCTTTTAGAGTGATATATTGTGTGGTTTTGAATAAACTTTAATTTCTGTAATTTTCTTTATCTGTAAACCAGTGATAATATACAAATACTGTCCTTTTGCAGCACAGTGAGAAAAGTAGTTACCCTGAAATATCAAACACACATCGATGGCACAGAGTAAATTAACCCTGTTAGAGGTTATTAACCAGTCCAACAACCAGACAGATGGAGAAAGCACTTATATCCCAAAGCATTATTAAACCTTCTTGGCTTTGCTTCTGCTGGTATATGAGGTTATTTTGAGGAAAAAAAACCAAAAGGGATATTATCTTTTAGCCTGCATTATCTTTTGGTGAGTCTTACTTTTTTCTCTTCTATTAACTTTGAGATTTGAAATGCAACTTGAGCAATTACATGGTGTCTTATGTGAAATACTGAGACTGTTCAACCTTTTGTAAACCAGACTGTCTGAGCAAGGCAGAGCCCTTGGATGTAATATTCCCTTTCCTCCCTTTTCCAGATCAACCCTTGATTGAAAATCAAAGTTGATTGTATTGCTGGTTTGACAGTGGCCATGTTCATCTGCATTAATTCTCATGCATTGTGTTATTTTTAATGTAGGTTATTTTTCTTATTGCATGTCTAAATTTTCCTAACTCTTGCTATGCAGTGACTTGAAGAATTACATTTGAAAAGAGAATGTATTGAAGAGATTGTTTAAGTCCTAAAATACCCTGTGTAGATTATAGCATGGTATTTTTGGAAAGCTTTTTTTTTTATTTTATTTGTATTTCAAAACAAAAGCACCAGATAAGCTGCTTTGGGCATGAAAATAAGTGATCTCTTTTCCCTTTGTTTTTGGGCTTTGCTTTGGTTTTGCTCTTTTAACCAGATAAGTACATCTGCTTTATCTGGTTATACATGAACAGTTTCCTACTTTAACCCCCTCAAGAGTGCCAAAAGTGTTGTTGGGATGGGTCTTTGAAGATGTGTCTGTGCACATTTTGTTATGCAGCCTCTCTCCTGGGAATGCCACCTCAGCCATGGTCCAATTGTAACCTGCACCCAGCGACCCCTCCCGCCAGGAAAACTGGGCTGTTCTTCTTCTTACTTCCCTGTTTCTGTGTGTGTATGTGTGTGTATGTTCTTCAGAAAGCCAAACTTGGGCCAGCTGGTAACAAAGTCATTACTTCAACAGAAGACAAGAGCTCAAGTGTGCCATCCAACAATCTGGACAGGGTCAAGCTGACAGATTTCAACTTCCTCATGGTTCTTGGAAAGGGGAGCTTTGGGAAGGTAGGAATTCTTTATAATTATTCCACTCCCATTCCTTTTTTTTTTTTTTACCTTGAGGAGGAATGAATGACTAATTCCCTGAGAAGCAAAAGCCAGAGTCAAAAGGATGTGCATTTTTGAGGGAGGATCTCTTAACAGGGAGCATGGTGGTTCCCTAAGGACTAGAGGGCTTCAGTCCTGACTGGCAATTTTCTTGAAAAAGTAAAAATAAATTATAAAAGACTGTTGGGCAAGATGTGAGAAACAGTTGCTGACTTTTAGATCCTCACTTCTTGGCAGGTTCAAGGAAATCAAGTTTACTTTTCTGGCTTTACTACCCAGGTCACTGTGCCAGTTCTGGAAGTCACCAACATTGGTAAGGCTGGACACTGGGGGAAAACCAGGAATAGTGTGTATAGTATATATTTGAAATCCATTAGTTGAAGGAACAGGCTGCTATTTTTCTGTCTGCTTGAACATCACTTCTGTGATAAAGTGCCCTTTACTGAAGAAGTCCCCTGGGACTTAACATTTTATCAGCCCTTCAGCAACGTGCCTGTGATCAACCAGAGGGTTTTGGCACAGGCTGTGCCTGAAATGATGGTACAGCTTGTTGCAGCGGGTGAGTAATGACCATAATTTTGGAGTTTTGATCAGATTAGTCCATACCAATAAAAGGAAAAGCTGGATTGCCATCTCTACAAATCTTGGGGCTTGGCTTGGGACGATTCTGAGCCCGTTGTTTCTCTCGGTGCAGGTGATGCTGGCAGACAGGAAGGGGACAGAGGAGCTCTATGCAATCAAAATCCTGAAGAAAGATGTGGTGATCCAGGATGATGATGTTGAATGTACAATGGTTGAGAAACGAGTCCTGGCACTGCAGGATAAACCCCCGTTCCTGACACAGCTTCACTCCTGTTTCCAGACAGTTGTACGTGAGCTCTCTCTTCCCACCCTGTGTTTTCCAGACTAAATGATCGTGGATTTTAGCACTTCAGTGACATTTATTATCATCCAACCCATACATCATAGCATAGAAAACAGCGAAGAAATACCACATGTAATTACTCCTTGTATTTGAAATATAAAAACTAGGTTTAAAGATTTTTCCTCTGAGTCATTCCAGCCGACCAGGGTGACAATTCCTAAATTTCATCCTGTGTGGTTTCTAAGTCAGAGCCTTAAGCCCACCTTCCCAAAGGTTCCTAAATACTTTTAAAGATTTGAGGTATTTCCCAACCTAAATGATTCTGGGATTCTGTGAAAAAAGCCAGATCCCCTCAGCTTTCACAGCACAATTGTCTGTGGTGTTAAAGGCACTTTCAAACTCTGTTTAATGTCTGCAAATCCCTGAGCAGAAAATGGCCTGAATGCAACCAATTTGCAGACATAATCACAAGAAACCATCACCTTTTTAATAATAAAAAAATCTATATTTTTAATACCTCCCATCTTCCAAAGGAAAACTCATTAAGAAGGTTTAGAAATGGCCTCAGAGCAGGAATTTTCAACTACCTTTGATTTTGTTTGTTTGGTTTTTATTAGAGACTGATTTTTCAAACAGAGCTATGTTTGTATAATTCATATGACCATTGTAGACAAATAATATGTAAAAGTGCACCACTAAAATTGACAAATCTTGTCAGATCTCCTCAGTCATTTACTCCTGCAGGTTTTACAAAACTTTCCACTTCCATTTATCGATCTATCGATTTTGCAGGAATGTACAACCAGTCCTAATAATCCTAAAAGCTTTATAATAACATACCAGTGACTTTTTTTTTTTTTCTGCTGATCAATGAATATCTAATACATTTCCTCTAATGTATTTCTCTGTGTCTTTACTGCTTTGTCCCAGGACCGGCTGTATTTTGTCATGGAGTATGTGAATGGTGGGGATCTCATGTATCACATCCAGCAAGTAGGAAAATTTAAGGAGCCACAAGCAGTGTGAGTGTTCACATTCATATATTTAAATCATGTCATCCTCATTATCTTATACTCTAAGAGGATTTGGTTTCTTCCTCTTCCCAGGCTCAGTAGGAAGTCTAAGCTGGCCTTCTTTGATTGTGCTTTTAAGGCCCAAAAGCTGAAGTTCATGTTAAAAATGTTTGCACACATAGGCCAAAGGTATCTGTGCCTTTATTCCAAAACAGAGCACAAACAAAAGCACACAGTGCCTACTTGAAAGGTGACAAGAATTTAACCAAGGCAGCAGGAAATTAAAGCTGTTACTTGGCATTCTGGTGTTGTTTTTAAAAGCAAATATTAATAAAAAGGTGAGTGGAACATTTCAGTCTGAATTAGTGTTATAAGGAAAGGCAGCACAAATAGCACTGCAATATAAATAAGTTTATACAAGATAAATGCAATGTATAGCTTATAAGAATTTCTGTGATATATTTGCAAGGAGTTAATAAATTATTAGAAGTTGTTTATGTACCTGATCCCTTTTAGGTAATTGTACATCTGGCACATCACTGAGCAGCTGATAATGATCTATAGCACATTCAAGTGTGAATAGATCCAGCAGTACCACGTTAGTCATGCTTATAACATCTCCTCATCACTTACTAGCGTTCCTTGAATCATTTACCAATGAAACTTTAAAAGCAAGGGTGACCAACTGTTTTAAGAATTCAGTTAAAATAACTTCTCATCTCGATTTAAGCAACCAGGGCTCATTTAAATGAGAGGCCTTCTAAATATAAGTATTTCAGAATCAGAAAAATATTTTAACAACTCCCTGAAGAAAAACTAGATGGTGTCAGATCATCTTTGACTCCCAGCTAATGTAACTTGCCAACACTTAACAAAATCTGTGGTGCTTTCTGACAGCTTCTGCCTGTGCAGCATCTTCAGCACACGTGTTCACCAACACCTCTGATTGAGTGTTGCAGAGCTCAGCCTTCCTCTCCCTTATGCTAAGCCTAAAAATTAATCTCATCTTTAAATAATCCTCTTGCATATAATTTCCACAGCAACCAGCTTCAAACAGCCATCAATATTATATATCTTTTAACTGCATTCGGCAATTATATTTTATATGGTAATCGTTTAAATTAGCTTCATGTAATTAATCCATTAACAGCCTGTGTAAAGGAATACTATTTCTGCAAATTATTTCATGCCATATGAATTGCAATGTACATTGAGCTGCATCCTGAATTCATCAATATGTGATTAGAGATAAGGATCTTTGCAGCAGAGTCAGATCGGTCCAAAAAAAAAAAAATGCTGTGCTCCAGCTACACCATTTTTTGTTGTCTAGGGAGACATTTTCAATATTATTTTTTTGAAATTCTGCATTATTTTATCATCAAACACTCAAAATGTGTCTGTTAAGGTCCAGTCAAACTGAGATGTCTTTTATAGTATCTGCCCGTAATACATATTTTTATACTCTTACATATATACACACTATAAATTATATATTTCATATGCTATAATGCTATCATTATTTACCATGATGCACATCCAAATGATTTTGTCTGAAGGAAATCACGAGGCAGTAAGAAATCTGTTGTGGTTTTTTTTCTTCCACACAGGTTCTATGCAGCCGAGATCTCCATTGGGTTATTCTTTCTCCACAACAGAGGGATTATTTATAGGTGAGTATAATCTGACATAAGTAACTCTGAACGATTTTTAAAAACCTGAATGAATCGGTTTCTTTAAAGTTTTTGGTGTATTTTTAAAACACTGTATAAAAAGCCATCAGTGTGGGGCTCTTTTTGCTGTGTTGGTGCTGGTGAGGAGGAAACCAAAGCCCCGGTTTTACCTGAGCTTTCTGATACTTGTTGATCCTAAGCATTAACATTAAATTGCTGTGATTCTTCATAGAGATCTGAAATTAGATAATGTGATGTTGGATTCAGAAGGACACATTAAAATTGCTGATTTTGGAATGTGCAAAGAACATATGTTAGATGGAGTAACAACCAGGACCTTCTGTGGCACTCCAGACTACATTGCACCAGAGGTAAATATTGACCATTTCAAGAACCTTTTAGTCTCTCAAATGGAAATTGTCCCTACACAAATTGTACACCATGGGTTTGGATAGCTGGAACTCTGGATTCTCTGTGGATGGTACCATTATTCTCCTGCAGGTATATTGAATATCTTTATGAATTGATGCAATATTGTCAATAAGACTTCGCTATTCTAAAAATCTAGTTGATTGAAAAACTTTTGATGAGATCAGTGCTTCAGCTTTGGTTCATACTAAAAAAAGACAGGCTCAGCACCTTGTGATTTTAAATTTGTAGGCTGGAAATGTTATTAAACTAAACTTTACAATTTGTAAAGTCATAGAAACTTCCTGGATGGTGCTGAGGTTGTTGCTGAGGTCAGCAAATACTTCACTGGGAGCAAATTTTGCTTCTTTAATGTATTTCTCCATAAGTTCTCACAGCTGCCAAAATGCATTTATTTAAAGCACTGTTTGGCATTTTCAGGAAATCACAAACCACTCAGTGAGATTTGGGAAGGGACTCTTGAGGTCTTGAAGCTTCTCACTGACCTCTCTGTAAAACTCCTGTCATTGAAGGCCTGACCAAAGCTGTAAGATCAGGGCTTGAATGGAGTTGACATAATAAATCCATAATTTGCCTTGAGTTTTCCATGATTTGGGAATACCAGTTCAAGCCACTGAAAGCGACAGTCAAGCAGGAACCAACTGCAGTGGGTCTAAAATGAAAATTTGATCCTGAGAAGCACAGTTGTGCTTTGAAGCCTGTGATAAATATGAGTTTAGAGTTGAGATTTTTAGTCTGGATATGATTTGTATTTCAATGCTTTAGGTATAAAACATTAAAAACAAGCACATGTGGTGATTTGGATATAATTCAAATATATGAATATTAAAATCTGGTATTTGTGCATACTGAGCTTTCAGGAGTCTTGATTTGTTTGGCAGCAAATTTGATGCAAGAGGCTGGATCCTGATCCAAGATACTCAGTTGTTCAGTGAGTACTGAGCAAGAGGCAGCTCTGGCTGGAACATTTCTGGCTGTAACTGTGTTTGTTGGAATAGGGCAGATTTATACATGGACAAGTAAATTAGTGTCTAAGGTGAATTTTGTCATCTCTGTGAAATTGGAATGAAAAATAGTTTGTTTTTTTCTCAGTTGCTAATTCATGCTTTTCAGAGTGAAATATTGAGTATTATAGAGCCTTGTTTTTTCACCATTTGCTGTTGCTTGCAGCAGGATATCAGAACAACCAGAATAGTTCATTTTCTTCTGTCAAAAAGTAAAGGAAGCCAATATACCAAATTAGAGTGTCCTTTCTGTGGCAATTGTCTTGTGCCAGTTGATACCAAAGAACATTTCATCAACACCAAAATGCTCAACATGAGTCAGTGCTGGAGTGAATTACTTTATTTTATTTGGAAATTCCATATAAAGAAATAAACCTTTCACCAAAACATTCAGTAATTGGGAGGAAATTAGTCTTTCTATCATCTTACAAACAGATTTGATTTTATTTCATTGAATTGACCGATTTTCTTTTGATTCTGAAGACATTATTGTGACTGGCAGATTGCTAACTAGGTCTGTGGTAAACTTCAAAGGAAGGTTCATGTTTTGCTTGCAGGGGTGTTTCAGCATGTTTCCATGGGCTAAAATTTATCAATTTGTAATAGATTTTAATGAAGATGCATTTGCACGATCCCATTCCCTGCTGGGTGCAGATAAATGAGCTAAATCTAAATAAACTGTTGAAGGTGTCTGGAGGAGAGTCCTGTGAGTGGGTTGTACTCAAACACAGAGAATTAACTCTTTCCATCAGCATTTGGGAAATAATGGTGTGACAATAACGGGGTCTGAAGGAGCCCCACAGTCCCTCTACATGAACCACCCACACACAGTTCAGGGATTACACAGCTGGAAGGACCCTACAGGGACGTCTCAGCTGGTGTCACTCGGCCCATCTCTGGATGGAAAATAAAGTGCTTCGTTCAGCAAAGAGACTTTGCACAGCTTGGTGTACTCTAAAATAACGTTTCCCTTTTTTATGATTGGGAAAGTTACCATTTGTTGATACTTAGCTGGATAACTGACTGGAATTAATATTCATTTTCTTATCCCATGCACATTAAGGAATGTGCAGAGGTCAAACTGGTGGGATCCCAGGCCTGACAGCTTCTGTCAGGCAGAAAGTGGTTATCTTGTACAGAATATTTCTTGATGTGCTGAACTCAAATATTTATGGTCAGAGTGGGGAAATAGCTGTGAAATCAATTAGTACTTTGTGTTGCCTTGACCAGTCAAGAGAGACAGGAGGAGATGGATGTCAGGGGGATTAGTGGGAAGGGATTCTGCCAGCACAGAACCCCACCATCAGCATCCCTGCAGCAGCCAGAGTGATGAGTTTTGAATTTCAGAAGAATTTAAATTAGAAACTCCATTTCCCTTCTCCTCCATCCAACAGCCTCAAAACCTTCAGCTGTAACCTTGAATTTGCCAGGATTGTGGGAGGTAAATATGTATTACAGAGGTTTGGAAAGCGTGTGTTTGACTGTTTCCCGTGCTAGTAATATTTATTTCTTTTAATAACTGAGTTTTAGCTTTTCCTGCAGACATCAGATGTGTTCACAAAAGATTTTCTCTTGCCTCTGGGATATAATCTTTTCATCCCAACTGGCTACTAGCTGCAAGCTGCAATGATCTAAACATTCCTACAAATTGCTGGTATTAATCTCTGTGTCCTGCTCTTAACTGTGCCTTCCTCGAAGGCAAAATGGGGGGGGGGGGGGGAAGAAGAAAAAAAGCAACATTCTTCTGCCAATTTTGCTTGATGAGAGAAATTCCTGAGCTCTTCCTGAGCGCTCAAATCCACAGAACCTGGAAAGGCAGAGCTCTTAAAGTGCAGCAATAGGTAGTTAAAATGGGACATTTGGAATGGAAAAGGAGATGAAAAAGGCAGTAACTTAAATTAATGATGGAGAAGGAGCTGGGGGGAAGGGTCCTACCAGCTTTCCACTCCTCCCTGGCCAGTGAAAAGCAGAGATCCTAGCTGGAGGAGGGGACAGCTCTTCATTTCTAGGCACAGGAACTCCCTCACTGCTCTGTGGGTCTGCCCTGCACACTGTGGTGAGACAGGTCATGTTAGTATACCCCAATTTACTCTAAAAGATACCAGAGTTTGTCCATGCAGATAGAATTATTTTGGCAGCTGCTGCAAGGCAGGCAGGGATGGCTCTGAGTGCAGCAGCTGGTAGGTAATACAGGATGAATTCTGGATGAGGAGGAGGGAACTACTGAAAATACAACATTTAGAACTTGCTGACTTTGTACCAGTGCATGTTTGACTGTACATTGAAAGCTCATCTGCTTCCTCCCACATGTCATTCCTTCCTTGAAGTGAGCGTTCTTTCCTCTCGTTTGCACTTCCAATTAATGCTGGGAATAGCTCCCAGTAGGATGAGGATAACCACAGGTTGGTGAATGAACGTGGCAGATTGCTTTGCTGTGCTTCCCTTGTGCCACAGCCTTACAAGGATTGAGCTGGTCATTCAGATTGGGTGTATTTAATTAGGATTAAAGGAAAAAAATCTTCCAGTGTCCAGCAGCAGATTTGACAGGGCCACCTTTTCCTACCTGGTGGTAGGTTCAGTGAAAGGAGTGTTCTTGTTGTAGTTGCAGTGGCACCTTTCCAGTGTTGATGTCTGTATTTATGTCTCAATTGCCCCTCTTCCATCACTGGTCCAGGTGAGGGAGGCATTGCCAGCTCTGGTTGTCAGATGTTGACATGTGGCACCAAACAGCACAAAAATTGCAGTGATTCTGACCCTACCTTAGGTTTAATGGAGGAGCTTTTCTCGTGTTAATTCTGCCTCTCTTGATGATTCTGCCAGCTCTTCTCTCCCAAAGGCAGATGTCATTGGGGCAGGTTGCTTTGCTGCTGGAAATGCTATTTAGGGAAGAGCCCAGCTTTGACTCACCTCTTGCTGCATAAACAACCAGCGTCACTGAGTCGGTGCTTCGGTTCATCTTTCATTGTATGACATTGCTTTGCTGTATTTAAACCATTTTCTCCCCTCAATAAACCCATCAAACTCCTCCACAATAGGAGGAGAAGTAGACTGTGGGCTCCTGGACAGACCTGGCTGCCAGGTACAGAATCTTGGCAGTGTAGCAGCATTTTCTTTCTCACTGCTGTGGATCCATTTTTTTTTCTCATTTGCTAATTGAAATAAACTGTTCCTCTCAAAACCACTTACATGGAGCACGCTTGTTGTACAAAATGTTCTGCCCTTAGGAATTAATGACCTGAAAAATACCTCTTTTTTTTTTTGATAAAATACTCTTTGCCATAAGGCAAAGAGAGATTGTCAGAGAAGGATTGAAGATGAAATAGTGTATCATTTGCTGTGTGTAAAAGGCCAGTGTTTTTCCTGGATAAAAGTTTGAAAGTGTTTGGTCTTTCAAGAGGCAACACTGATTCCAGTGGGCCTCTGGGACTTACTGTTGATGGAAATGAAAGGGAGAGTAACCAAGTGTGTCAACTAATACAGTATGAAATGAACATCCCAAATATATATTTTTAAGTCCATATTACCACTAAGAGACAAGTAATATAGATTTGCCTTTATGTAGGACCTTCCAGATGAGAATCTTGTTATTATCTGTGATTGTCTAATACATTCCAAAGTACAATTGATTTTGAAACCTTTTGGTTAGAAACATTGCAGTAATTTTTAATTCATGTGCTGCTGTATCTCAGGGAAGAACATATATTCACACAGAGACTATAATTTTATTTAGTAGCCAGGCAGTGCTGCTTTATTGCACTGGTGACTCACTATTTTCCTGAGAAACTACAAAACTTGCCAGTTCAACTTCTCGTTCAGACAAGTAAAAAATTTACAATATGTGATGTGTACTGGGCTTAGCAATTTGTCTCACAAAGAATAAAACCACATGCAAACAGGAAAATAAATGCAGGCCCCTCTGGAGCAGTGACTGCCTCAGTTCCCTGCTTATTCTGGTGGTGGAGGGTCGAAGGCTCCACTTGCTGCCTTCCCTGGTAGGGATGGACAGTGGCTGGGACATCCTACTTGCCTTCCCAATTCACAATATCCCTTCACAGTTACTTAGAAGGAGATTTGAGAGGACATCTGCCCCCTCGAACTCCTCTATCCCATTCCCAAACCCAGCTCTTAAATAAATGAACGCTGACATCTGAAGAGGCCTCAATTAAAGATGATGATGCAGGAGGGGCCCTGGGTGCTGTTGGCACCCACAGTCTTTCCTTGTGTCAGAACTCAGTTTGTGCTTCTCCATGAGTCAAATGTGAACAATACTTGACATTTCCATTAGTCTGAACAGCAGGAACCCCTTCCTTTTTGGGGTAGCTGTTACCTGGCTTCGTCCTGACAATCACAGTCATGAGGCTTGGGAAAACATCACTGAGCTCTTTAGGGGTTTGCTCTTTTCCTAAATTTTGACTCCTTTTACAGCAGAACAAAAATAGAAATATTGAAAAGAAGGGCTTAATTATTGATAGTCCATAAATTAAGTGATTCTCATGATTTCAAGCTATGACAGACATGGATGGATAACATTTTTGCCTTGTCTAGTACGTCGTGCTGCTGTACTTCCCCTTTTGCCCTCAAATGCACATCCCAAGGACTCCTGAGAGCCACATTTGCCAAGATATCAGGGTATCAAAGGTGAGGGTGGGTTTAGACTAATATTTGCAAAACAATCCAACTCCCACTGAAACCAGTGATTGGCTGGAGTGAGGATTACAGGATTGGCTTGCTGGCCTTTTTCAAGGAAATATGTTCTTCTTTGCATGTCACTATTTATCTAATATGCTACAGGACTGGGGGTTAGTTAACACAGGGGTTTTTCCTTTGTTTGTTTGTTTTTTTTTGTGATTATACAGATTATTGCTTACCAGCCCTATGGGAAGTCCGTGGATTGGTGGGCTTATGGTGTGCTGCTCTATGAGATGTTGGCTGGACAGGTAAGATTTACCTTCCCGTGCTCACTGTGACCTCCTCCTGCATCTCCAAGGCTGCTCTGTTCCAAGGCTCCCTAAAGGGTTAGACCATTAGAAGATAAGACTGAAGCCTTTCATACTGCTATTATCTCCTTGTACTCTTGACTGACTCAACTGAGAATGTATTTAGGCTTTAAGCTCTTTATATTGTGCCCACATAATCAAGCTCTGCCTTTGAATACGGCTCCTTTGTACTGCAATAATGTTATAAATAGCCATCTTCAGGATTGAAAGGAAGACACTTGAGCAGGAAAACGCATGTCAAGTGGAAGAAATATCATTTAGTAGTTTGAAACCACGGGGAAGCATAATAACAGTGTGTATATGCTCTGCATTGCAGTTAAATCCCAAGAATACAGTTTTTGTGTTGTATGTCCTGGGGGTAAGTGTGGGTTTGGCCTCTTGGAAATGTGCTCAGTTACAGAGCCCTCCTTCTGCACAGTTAATGAGAGGCTGCTCTCTGAGGCACTGGGGTAGGAAAGCAACACTGTGCTGCAGTAAATGGCAGATAAGTACCAACTTCAAGGAATTCTATTAGTCTTGAGTTGGAAAAGATTTCTGCAATTGGCTTTCAGTGAGTGTTAAGCTAAAAGCAGGCGTTTCCTGAGCTTAAAACAGACATTTTTAACAAATGCCTTTAATAGTTTCTCTACTAAATTCCAGTGACATTTTGAAAGTTTTAATGTGTGGCAATTGCAGATGCTAATACTTTACAGGCTGCACTACAAATACAGGGCATCTGAATGCTCTGGAGAAAATGAGATTTACCATTGGTTGGGTCTTGCACGGTGCCCGTATCCTGGGGAGTCACCCATGGGCACTTCCCTATCACCTCTGTTTTAAAATATAATGCAGCCCTTTCTTGTCATAGTCTCAGAAGCAGAAGCAGAGTCTACAGCCATGACATAAAACAAACTCGAGTTTGGAAGTAAGTGAGGAATGGATGTACCTTAGCACAGGGTAATTGAAAGTTCAATCTCCAGACTTCACCCTTTAAAGTATTTTGCCTGCCTGGTGCAGAGTAGCTTTAAAAACTGATTAAAGCTGATTATGAAGATAGTCCTGCATACATTTCATTAACCTGTGGGGGCAAAAATGAATGTTTTTCCTGGATTTCAGCCTGAGACTGATGAAGATACCCAGGGTGCAGATGGCTGGGAGTTTGGTGTGTGCTCCTGGACAAGGACCACTGCTGTGTACTGATCTCTTTGGGCATAGTATTGTCATACCATTTCATAAAAAGTTGAGATTTTTTTTAAAAAAAAAGCAAATCCCAGTAAGGAACTCACCTGTGATTTGTTTTCAACAGCCTCCATTTGATGGGGAAGACGAAGATGAACTTTTCCAGTCCATAATGGAGCATAACGTGTCCTATCCCAAATCACTGTCCAAAGAAGCTGTCTCCATCTGCAAGGGGGTGAGATAAATGCTTCTTTACCATTAAGTTCCTTTTTGGCAATCCTTGTGAATGACTGGATTTGCCTGGCTTTGACATGGCACTGTAGTATTTTTGAGGGCAACTTCTGTCAGGCAGTGCTCAGCTCTATTGTCACTTGGTGTCACTGATAAGGGTTCAGCTCTTCCTGCTGTTCTGCTTGTTTTATGGCAAGAACAAATGTCAGAATCAGTAGCTGCCAAACACAAAGCAGAATTTATAAACAGGATGATGGTGTGAAGCGTCTCCACCCACTTTGCCTCTCGACCCGCAGCAGCACAGCCCCAATTTTGCAGGGTGAGAAGATTTCTCAGCTTGGCTGGATCCCAGATCCTCCAGAGAGTCTTCAGCCCAGGATGCCTAATGACAGGAGCAGAGAAAAAGAGTTACTAACACTCATTTTTAAATGTAGGTAAAGATGAGCTTATGTGAAAATGGGAGGAAACCACGGGGAAATCCTGACCCAGTGGTGACTTGTGCGGCCTAAAATTGGCCTTAGATTGTAAATTTTGAGGAAAAGAAGAGATTTGGCTTCAGGGGATTAGCTCAGGAAAAAAACAGTTTGTTTGACTTTCCTTTGACTCCACGTGATTCTCCAGAGAACCATCAGTCTGCAGCTTTTCCAACCCACTGTTTGTAATCGTTATTTGAGATCTGATTTACACTGATAAAACACCACTGCCTTTAGTATCAGTTAATCAGTTAAATTGGTATATCCTTTGCAACCATTTAGGAGGTGTTATACATGAGCTGGATATCAATCCCTTAAGGAAAATCATCACAGAAAAGGAAAGATGTTTAGAGCAACAAGGTAAAAGGAAAGACCACGCTAATTTTGGAGCTTATCCCAGTGTAGACATGCTGGGTAGCAAAAAATAAACACCATATATTTTTGTGAAGTACATGCAGATTATTGCCTTGTCGTGACAATCACATTTTCAAACAGCAAAGCCTGAATTTGATGTAATGACCCCATTTTCAGCTCCCCTGCTTGCTGCTGTTCTGCGTGCTCACACCCAGAGAGGGCAGAAAGCTAAAACTGCCCTGTTGCCACGAGGTTTAAGGTCAAATCTCTGTGACACTGATGTGTTCATTGGCTGTATTCAACTGACAAATTAATCCCAGGTTTCAGTGAGCATTATTCCTGAGCTAAGAAGTCAATATGAGAAAGCTTCTGAGCCTTGCAGTCAGTGGGAGCTCAGCAATCCCAGGACTGGGCACCAATGGGCAAGACAAACATGCCCATTGTGCTCTTGGGATTGATTTGTCTGCTTGACATCCATTCCACTGATTTAGAGCTTGTTGGGCTTGGTAAATGCAGGAACTGTGGAAAGAATTAAAACTACCAGAATCAATATTCACGTTTTCTTTTATCCCTTACTGTTAAAGCAAGGGGTTTGGAAAAGGTAGCAAAAATGGGAAAGTTGCTGTTAGGCTTGAAGAAGGCTGTGATTCCAGCCCAGTGCACAGCCCCTTCCCAAATCTGCTTTGGAGTCACTTTTATTTTAGGTTTAAAATTGGAGTCAGATCAACTCAACATTTGGAAGGAGACTAAAGCAGTACAGCTGAGCTTTTAAAAAGATGTGTGGAGGTATCACTCTCAGCAGCACATTAATCATATATAATTTGTAGCACAGTTTTAAAACGTCCCCACAACACTGAAACTGAGAGTTGAAGGCTACATTGCACAATTCCTAATGTACACACCAACTGAGGAGATGCTGAGGAGTTTGTTAATTAGGAAGCACATTACATTTTCTGAGCACACCGTGCTCGTGGGTTTTGGGTTGTTTCTTTTCCCCAAGTCTGCTTAATCTCTGCAAGTGGGTATAGTATTGACCAGGATGTCATTAAGAATGCAAGGGAGGAAACACAGATTTGATACTGGCAGCTGGGTGCCAAGGAATTGGAGGCCCTGTAATGAGATGTCTTAAACAAGCCCAGAGAAATGAAATGGGAGTGGGGAGGTTGTACTTCATACAGCTTTAGTGTGTTGGGATTTATTATGTTTAATTGATTGTTGAGATAAGGCAGAGGCTATTCTGGAGATTTATAAGACTGAAAGACCAAAGGTGAAATTCAGGAGTTGTGAGCAGGGATGGCAGCATGTCTTGGGCATCACCTGCACCTCTGGTGGCAACCAGTGCCAAGTGGGGAAAAGTTCTCCAACGCAGCCCCTAATTTTGTTGCTGATGTGCTGTCTCCAGGGAACAAACAGGAAAATTCATCTTCAAAAACTGAATTTTACCTTTTCAAAACAATTTCATTAGCAATGTGTATCTTCGAGAGAGGAGCGAGAGCATCACAACCAGGGGAAAGTCTGTCTCACTTCCATTCCAGCGTTAAATTGAATCATTTGCTGTTTTCTTCCCGACAGCTGATGACAAAACATCCTGCAAAACGCCTTGGCTGTGGCCTTGAAGGTGAAAGAGACATCAGGGAACATGCTTTCTTCAGGAGGATTGACTGGGAAAAATTGGAAAACAGAGAGATTCAGCCACCTTTCAAACCTAAAGTGGTGAGTGAGATGCCAAGTCCTTCCCTTGCCTGCACTGAGGCTTCCCCGTGGGGTGACATTAATGCTGCCTGGCTGGTGCTGCAGATCTGGGACACTGCTCAAATAAGGCAATTTGATTATGGCAGGCCAGTCTGTAAGTCTGCTCGTGATTTGGCACCTTGTGGTGTAACCCAGCGTTATTTGTTCCTTTGCAAAAAAGTCTCTCAGTGGTTTGAGTCCTGCCTGGACGGTCACGCACTGCAGGAGGTGCCGAAAACGGGGAAAATTGGCATATTCACATCAGTGGCTGATGTGTGAGGCTGGTGATAAACATGGCTCATGACTGTCTCCTCTGAACAACGTCTGAAGCCAGTGATTCAAGGGATCTGAATTGCAGGGGTGAATTTCCTCCACAGGCTGCACAGCACAGGGGGGTTGTATCCCCATCCTGCAACGTCCGCTCCGTTTGCAAAGTAATCCCTGATTTACTTTTCATGTTTGTTACTGGTTTGCACACGTGTATCCATAGCAATATTTTAGAAATCCAAGCAAGTGGAAAGATGTCCTTACCCTCAGAGCTGTTTGCTTAATAGAATTGGGAGAGCTGGGCTTGTGGAGACAGAATTTCTTTCAGCATGTATTGGTTTATTGACAGGCAAAGAGCACACAAGAATACAAGCTTTAAGGAACAGCTGTAAATTGTTATGTCCTAACATTGAATCTTTCTTCTCTATCCCTTTTTTATTTCAGCTGAGAGGCCTGGCTGGCTCTGGCATTTCAGGTGTAGGGTCTGTACACTGATTTATTTGCTAATACAGGCACACTAGTGAGGTACCACAAATTAATGATGCCAATACCCAGTGGCAGAATTATTCTTCACTTCCTTCATACAAATGACTTTTTCATATCACCAGGAGGAGAGTTGCAGCTGAGAAGGGTGTTTTGTGCTAGGGAAAATACCCTTTTTTATATGGTGTGGATTTTGCATGCAGGGAAGGGTGTAAATAAGTAAAGAACAAAAGAACATGTGTGGTGCTGCCAGTCCTGCCCAGCTGGTCCCCAGAGCTGGCTGTGCAAAGGGAAGCTGCTCTTTAGAGGTATTTTATGGAGGATTTTGATTACATGCTTCTCAAGTCAGACTTAAAGCTGATCATAAAGCAAATCTACCTTCACAGCTCCAAGTTTTTATTAGCTCAGGGGCTGAGTGCTTAGACTCTCCTTGAAGTTAAAAGTATCACCAGCATGAAGGTACTAAAAGCTTGAAGGATGGTCTGGTTCCATCACAGCACACTTTGTGGCAGATCCTGGCTCCTCTTTGGAGCAGCTGTGCTCCATCCCTGTGGTTATCCTGACCTGGTTTGTTCATACAGGCTGCTTTTAAAATGCACCAAGGCCAGATTCACATGGAGCCTTTACTCTCCCAGATAAAAATAATTTAAAATCCAAGTCTGGTATTTACATACCCTATGTAAAACTCATTTATTGCAGTTGCTGATTCTATTTGTATCAGTGTCATGGAATTATAGAATCGTTTAGGTTGGAAAAGACCTTTAAGATCATCAAATCCAACAGTTCTCACTGCTGGAGTTGGCACTGCCAAGCCCACCACTAAACCATGTCCCTACACATTTCAGTGCCTCCAGGAATGGATATTGATTTTAGAAAGCAAAAAACACACAGTCCTTAATCTGTTTGAAGATAGGGATGTATTTATAGGCTTTGTTTGGCGTGGGTTTTTTTCAGAAAACCTTTGTAGGTGCATCTTCTCCAGGAATAATCCTGCTGCCTCCTCACCCAGGCACGGCTCTTACTTGAACGTGGAGCTGCAGATTTTGGGTCAGCAGTTGGTTGGTTTTAAATAATGTGTTCACTTCCAGACTGACATTTCACAGGCTGTAGGCATAGGATGATTATTTGGCAAGAAGGACCAATTTTACTTGTATTTTTAAGGTTAGGAGGTTTAGAATTTCTGCAGTTCTGCTTTAATGCTGCATTAATGTTCACAACAGCAATGCTACTCTTTACTGTGAGGACAAAAATGTAATTGAAGGTGCAAATTTATTGATAAATTACTATATTTGCCCCCCAGATATACCCATATTTCACATGATTTATTTCTTAGCTTCTACTAACACAAGCAAAAGTGAGAGGCCTAATGGAGTCAGGAAGTTTGGTTTCAATATGCAAGTTGTTTGAATACTTTCCACTTGCTGAAAAAAGAGGAGGAAAAAAAATTAAAAAAAGAAAAAAGAGCATCATTTTGTGGCAGGATGATGCTTATCTGTACATCATCTTTTTAGCAAAAGCCTTCCCTGTATAAATAGCCCTTTTGTGGCTGCTCTGAGCTGAGTGTTGTGCCTCTGAATAAATTTAACTTAATTTGGGGATACATCAACTTTCATGCCAGTGATTCAGAGTTTTCCCCTTGTCGAAGTTCAGCTGTTTCCATTCCTGTTCTCCAGAGATTCTGTGCCAAAATGCACTGGCCTCAGTGGGCACCAGGGTACCCACCCCTATGTGGAAAAAGCCTTGAACCTGGGGCAGTGTTCCTGTGCTTGTGTTCTTGCAAGGCTGAGCCAGTGTCCTCTGTGAGCACTGATTTCCAGGACCTGGGCACGTGTTTGTTGTCCGAAATACAAACCACCTTGAGCCCCAGGCAGAAGTTCTGAGCTCGGCTCAGGTGGCAGGTCCAGGTCCAGCACCTGCCAGGTGCTCTGCAAGAAGGTTGGAAACTGTGACTGGGCAGTTTCCAAGACAGCCAAACATCTCACCCCTGAATCCAGGCCCCTTTCCAGTTGGCTTCTCCCTTAAATGCACAGATTAATCCATGTTGCATTCATTCAGAAAAAAAAAAATCAATGTTTAATGTTGGTCTACTGTACAAGCCCTATTCTGCCCTTTCTAATTTATCCTCTGAGTCTGAATATAATAATGTAGTGTTACCCTCTAAATCCACATGATTGTAGGGATATTGTAGGAATGGATAGGGAGGAAAGGTCAGTGACAACAGGAAGAAACGTTGGGTGCCTTCATCATACAACCACACTTTGTTCGAAGATCTGTTACAGTAGTTTTGAGATGAGCAGATTGAGCAGTTTCCTTCAGACATCTCCACATTATTCAATGCCTGACTTTCCTCAAATATGCATCTTTTTCTTGCACACAAGCTAAATTTTTTTCTGGTACCACCTTCATCCTTTTTAACACGCCTCTACTCATACTTCCCAGCCTATCGAGTGTTTTCTGCATTTCTCCAAACTGTCCTCTCTGCAAACCTAATTTCTTTTGGTTTCTGTTCTGAAGGAGTTGTGCTCAGCCTGGAGCTATATATAACCCCCCTTTTTGGCTGGGCTTTGCGAGACAACTGTCTCTTAAGACAAAAAAAAAGGGAAAAAAACCTGTGATAGCACATTTTGTAATGAGGACCCGTCCCAGGATGTGCTCCCTGCCCAGCTCCCTCCCACCATCCCCAGGACTGAGGCTGTGCTGTCCTTTATGGATTAACATGAGTTTATAGGCTGTACAATGAAGAGTCAAAGCATATAAATAAATTGCATTAAGCTTTTTGCAGATCGTAAAGGAAACAGAGACTAACACAAAAATTGAATTATGTATCATAGAGGTCTTAAGAAGAATTAAATGACTTGACAGAGAAAGTATCTCTTTCTGCCCATAAAAATATTTTCTTTTTCTTTCTGTATCCCAGTAAGTCTGAATATTTAAACCTCTTTATCTCATCACCTCATGCTGATGGCTGGAAACCTTTCTTGGCTGCTTTTCATCAGAACTCACCCGTTAAAACTTCTCTGTTTGTGTGGATTTTTTTGCTGAAATATCTGACGTGTCCTGACAAAACGCTGGGACTACCAATGTATTGCTGGGGGGTTTTTTTGAGCCTCTTTCCCTGTTTTTCTCTTTCCTTGCAGTGTGGCAAAGGTGCCGAAAACTTCGATAAGTTCTTCACGCGGGGACAGCCGGTGTTGACGCCCCCGGATCAGCTGGTCATTGCCAACATAGACCAGACGGATTTCGAAGGGTTCTCTTACGTCAACCCCCAGTTCGTGCACCCCCTGGTGGAAAATGTAGCATGAAACAGCAGAGCAGGAACAAATCCCGCCGTGGGGAACAGCCCGCAACCCTACAATTTTTAGGCTTTTGCCTTGTTGATTCCATTTGGGCCTGGAAATTGTAGGGTTCGAGAGTGTAGGGCGAGGGAAGGGCCACTTAGTCAGGATTTGGGCTTTGCAACGGCGTTGTTGTCTTAATGGGACATAAATTAGTGTACGGTGCCCTCTTACTCTTCTAGAAGTCACCACTGACTTGTCTAAACTTACCCATTTTTTGGTACGTTATATATTTTGTAACTTCCCACTGTCCTTTTGCTCCCTTTTCCACTCTGTTGTGTTAGGGAAAAAAATCTAACACGTGGTCTGAATTTAAAAAAACCACCTGGAATGTTTAGTCCTTGGGTGCAGATGCTGGAGGTGGGACTGTTCCTCCTGCAGTTCCCGGGGACTTCGGGGACACGAGCAGCACGAGGGACCGAGCGACAGCACCGGGGAGGAGAGGCATTGCAAAAACAGTGCTGAAAGGGGTTGTTTGGAAAATATGGCAGAAAAAGAAAGCTGGGAACGGGTGGGTGGGTGGGAGGGGGGAATAAAATCAAATCAGACCCTGAGGCTTCGTGAGCCGATCCCGTAAGATCACAAACAAAAGCACTCCAGTGGTGGCCACATCTCTAGGGACTTGTGCTAAGTAGCATGTGATAAACTCAAGGGTGAAATTTTGTCTTTAATAATAATAATAATGATAATAGTAATAATTTTAATAATACTTTTGTGAATTTTAATCTCCATGAGATTATTCTGTGATCCAGGGTGCCATTGTTTGTTCAGTTGGTTTAATTTACACCGCTCCTCGAGTTTACTGTTAACTGGTTCTAATACCAATATTTTACTATGAAGTTCATTAACCTGGAATGTAAAACAAAACTGTAATTCCTCCTAAATCTTATTTACATGTGTTTATTTATAGTCTGCAGTGTAGGGCAGTAAATTGAAAGGATTATGTGTACTAAATTAACAAAAAAATGCAGCCCCGAGTGACTTCCTGATTTCTTCAGAATAACTCATGAAAATCAAGTGAGAGTTAAGTCTTAAAATAATCAGTTTTAATTCAGAAAACTTTGGGCTGTAGAATAATCAAGCCTGAAAGAAGCAGCACCTAAAACTTGTTTTATTGATAGAATGGAATTTAATACCTTTTACATATGCTTCATGCAATGAATTTTGCATGTTTAGTAATAACTCTTAATAATAAGGGTTAATAATAAGCAGATCTATATTACTGACATAATCATATCAAGCATAAAGAGTATTATAAAACTTTTATAAAACAACTCGTGCTTTATTTGTGAAAGTTCTTGTTCTGAATGACACATTTAGATTTAGCTAAATGTTTTCTTGCTATTGTTTTGATTTTTACTTTAGGTTTTGGATATTGTTACTGGCTTAGGGTATAATCTCTTTTTTTAAAAGTAGATATACTTTTAAATGATAATTGCTACCTGCAGGTTTTATACGAGGTTCAATTAGGCTTTCATTTCACATCTGCTTATTACTTGCAGAGAAGGAAATAGACTTTATTTGCAATGATGAACACTGTAATTAATGCAATCTTCTCCTCTCCTATCACTTAGAGAAAAAATTTTGATATTTCCTCTTACAACTTTACCAGAAGATATTAATTCAAATATCAGTAAATACGTTTTGTGCATATTTTGGTTTTGTTACAGCATGTAAAATAGTATTTGGTGCATTCCCCTTATTTTTTTTCCCTTCTGCCTTGTTCCCCTTAGCAGCCATAGGCACTTTTTGTCTGTCAGATGTGCATGATGATGCCAGAAGCATGATGTCTCTGTTGCTGCATGCAGACTGGTTACGATTTTTCCAGCATGTAAACATATTCAAAAAGTAAGATATTTGCCATAAAAGACTTAAATTTATACTAGAATATGTAACGGGGGAGGGTGGGAGGGGGAAATCTACTTTCTAATCCATCTTTTGTGACAATAAAACATGGAACCTGTGCCAAAGATTCTGTCAGAAAGATCCAGTCCTGCCAAGTGGCAGCCAGGGGGGGGGTTGGCCCTGCAGGGGTGACCTGTGGAGAGGGGGACAGTTGTGGAGGGAAACACGGTTGGATGTGAACGGCACCTGTGGGTTGTCTGGGCACCCCTGGGGCCTTCAGAAGCTGTTTCTGGTGCTGGGATGGGCGATTTCCAGCACTCCAGAAGTCCAGCTGCTGCCCAGTCATAGTCCCTTTGCAGCCCCAGCTCTAACCAGGAGAATCTCGGAGCGATCAGGCTTTGGTGACATCCCGAGGTGTGGGAAAACACACGGCTCGTGAGGGGTGTTGGCCAACTGTCAGGAACTCAGATTGTTGCCTAAATGAACAGGACTCCAAATTTTTCACGCATTTCAGGAGCAAAGTTTTTAAGCCATTCTGTGTCAAACATGTTCTCAGCCAAGACTGGGAGTTCATTTTCTTCTTTGTGTATTATATAGTTCAGAAAGGATGGTATTCACCACAAAGCATGTGGCCTAGTGCAGCATTCATGATTTTTTTTTTTTTTTACTGAATATTATGAGCCTGATGTAGTTTAGGAAAATCAGAGTATCATGCTGTAGATTATAATAGATTGAATTAAGATAACAGGTTACTGAGTGTCTCAGATTTGAATGAAGAAGGGGCTCTCAGCTAAGTCAGTCTGCCATGAGGCGGCATTGTGAGTCTTTTAAGAATGTGGAAAAGACACTTTTGAAAAAGGAAAATACTGGGAGAAATGCCAGCACACAGGTTTGGGGTGTAAGAAAAGCAGAACAGGGGCAGAGCTGAACCAAGTGAGAAACCAGGCAGGAGATCCCATGGGCACATGTTCCCACAGGTCTGTTTTCCTGATGAGTTGTCCAGGGAAGTCCCACTGCGGGTGGTTGTTCCCGGTACAGCTGTGACAGTCAGTGCTGTTCACACCAGGACACGGAGCTGGTCCAACTCTGGGACAGAGCTGCTCATTTTCTGGCTGCTTCCCATAACCAGTCTCTTCAGCACTTGGATTTTTTCCCCAGTTTTTCTGATGTAAAAGCAGAAATTCCTCTTCAGCGTCATTACCTCAAGCCCCCGGGTTTTCAACAACTCTCACCGTCTTCTGTAGGTGTCTGTAACACTTAGGAAAAGGTCCTGTGAACTCCTGGATATCCTGAAGGAGCAAGGCAGGGTTGGATAAAGCAGGGACTGAGTGTTTGTTACCCCTCATTGCTCTGCCCAGTGCCCTCACACGTGAGCGCTCGCACTCGGACCGGCCCTGTCCCGAGAACTCCCAGTGGCTGCTCAGAATCCAGACATTTATAATGGCAAGGAAAACCTTTAAGTATCCTGCAAGCCTTTTCGTATCTTTTTAAAGACAGATGTTATTTATATAATATTTTTCACAAGATTTGGGTTTCTAGAGAACATGTATCAACAGAGGGAGAGGCATTAGAGCTGCTTTTCTTTCACTTGTGTTCGATAGCAACTGTAATCCCAACACCCACGTTGCCACAAAGATTCCTAAAAGGAAAATTGAGAATTATACTGCACTGAAGCTCGGGTAGAAGTTTTGGGAGCTGTGTTTCCATCCCACAGCTTGAGTCCCAAGGGGTTCTAGGGCAGCCCCGTTCCTGCTGAGGGAGGCACAGGTCTGCCATGTAAAACTTCCAAGGGGATTTCAGGGATCAAATGGGACTTGACTGGCTCCTAGGCAAATTTCTGCATTATTCAGGCATCTGGGTGGTTTTGTGCACCTTTGAGCCACTTGAGCAGGGTGGTGGGTTTCCAGGATAACCACTTCACCCACTGGCCAGTCTTGGTGTTCTCAGCAAGGATGGCACATCCATGAGAAGGAGAGAGCACACTCCATAATAAAATACTCCTTCTTAATGCAGTTTAGAGCAGAAATGCAATTTAGCTTTCTGATCCTTCATTCTTTCCAGAAGTACAATTGAATTTCCCTTTACAAACTGAAGAAAGTTCTTCTGGAGATCAGCTGTTAGTTTAACAGGAACTCATCATATCTGAACACTGTTGGCCTTTGAAATCCATCCTGTCTTTGGAGGTGAATTCAATTGAATAGTGCTGGGCTTCTATTAAATTAATAACCCAAGTGAGAGAGGAACTTGTCTTCCAGCTGGAAAGGTGACATGTCCAAGGATTGAGTGGTACCACTTGCAAAGTCTTTCCTCAGCCGGTGCATCCGGATGCAATCCCAGTAAAATGCCATAGGAGACACATGCAGGGAGCAGAGGGGGAAGAGCCTCCTTATTGAGCAAAACACATCCTTGGAAATAATATTAATAATAACAATCCAATAATAAAGCTTTGAGATGCGTAGAAAGAGCATATTTACAGTATTGAGTTTACAGTGGGCTTTTGGACCTGCCAGGGAACTTCTGGAAATATTTAATGTGATTTTCAGTTCTTGTAGTCGTTAGGATAAGTTATTGTACATAGGTTTTTGTCTCTTTGCAGACTGAGTGTGGGCTCCAGGCTCTGTGTCCCCTCTGTGCTGCCTGTGGGGAGGCACTGAGCTGCCCAGTAGTCCATAAGCAGACAAGCTAAAAAGCACTTTTTCCCCTAAGCTCTGCACTCATAGATGGGATCTGAAATAGTTCAGCTGAAGATTAAATAAGACTCGACTCCATAAACGTGCATGATTTCCTCACTGTGCCAGTAACAATTGGTAATTAAACAGCCTTATCATGAATAATCACCATGCACTACAGCCCTCCTGGTCCCAGGAAAACCTTGAGAGGGAGGCCACTCATGGACCTCTCTGCCTCAGTTACCTCAGCTGTAAAATGGGGGTAATAATACTTACTTACCTCACAGGGAGGTGTGAGGACTTCTTAGCCAATGTTTCTAATACACTTGTAACCTGACAAGAGTTGTGTAAGTATTATTATCATTTTTACTATTAAAATCAGCTTCTTGGATTCACATGGTACTGCTGGCTATACCATGCTGTTTCTACTTTTTTATAGAACTTTAGTAACTCTGCTGAAGCCGTTTGGAGAGGAATAAAATCCGATCTGATAACGTTTCTTACCAAATCTGGAGTCCAGCTTTTGTACCTGGAGTCAGGGTGTGGAGGGGGAGTGATGCTGACTGTGTGGGTCAGCTGCACTCACCTCTCTTCCAGTCACTGAGATTTTTATGTGCAATTTAAAAATTCCGTGTCAATGGAAGTCTTACCAGAACTGATCATTGGAAGGTGAGATTCCCTGTGGATAAATAAGGTCAGCACAGCTGTTTTCTAGTAATGTTTATACGACTCCTGGTCGGTCCACGACAGGTTGATACTTTCTGTTGATATTTTAATGTATTTCTGTGTTGTATTTATGTCTTTGTGTTTTTCTTTTCCTTGTCTGTGACACAGTAGGTCAAATTTAAAAGAAAACTGCTCCAGAAGCTGTTTTTTTTTCCTCCCACTGATGTCAGTTGACCTAAATAAATAAATTAAGAGTCTATTAATGATTCTAAACAGGATGAGTAGCAACAGCATTGATAATGCTCAGCCTGATGCCATTAGAGCTCATTTCTCACTCAGGACTCATTGGACAGTCCACAGCTGATGTTACATTAATTTTATAATCATTACTGACAGGAACATTTTAATAGAAAGGAAAATGATGTTTCTGATATTTATATAAGCTTTTTTCCTAAGAATTACTTGGATTTACTTTCCTTCTATTTGAACCCCATGAGGCAACACTGCCAAGGGCTCTGTCCTTCCAGAGCTTGGCTGGGGCCAAGAGCCCAAAATCACCAAAAATATGAATTATATTATATGTTTGTGTCCATTGCTGTTGGCCTTGGAGCAGAAAAAAGTTTTGTTGCAGTGGTAACAAATTTAATCAATGGCTCGTTCCCCACCAGGCCTTTCGTTTATTCTCTCCCATGTTATCAAAATGAATGTAAAAAAATTAATTTCAACAAAATGAAGCTCGTTGGCTCTTTTTAAAATGTGCATTCCCCAACAGTCTTTGGTTTTGCACAATACAGAGAACACCTGAAACTTTTCAAATGACTGTATGCTACTTTAATGTTCCCTTTTTTTAAACAAGGAGTAATCCTGCCTTGAAATCATTCGTATTTTTAATATTATTTTAAGACCCTAATGTTGTATTTATACAGAGGAGAACATTATTTATTTTCATATCATTTATTTGCAAGATGCTACTAGAAAACTTGGAGAGGCCATTCATTTTTCAAAAGATTAAAAAAAAATACCATAGGAAGCGTAGTGGGCAAGACTGATGTACAAATTACAGCATCTTTTTTTTTCTTTTCATAATTCGCAATATCTTCAATCTTTGTTTGCATGAAATGCTTTTGTTAAATATTAATTGTAGTTTCCAAACAAGTGTGTACGAATAAAAATACTGATCATTACTTTTGTGAGAGTTTGGTCTCCTTTGATGGAATTCCCTTTCAAAATTGACTCCACGGAGGCTGCAGAGGGGAAGGGGGGTTGTTTCAGTGATTAATGATGCTCAGGGACCCACCTTTGTCCTGAAATACCTATTTGGGCACTCCTGGGGGAGAGGACACGACTTCCCAGTCCCACCAGCCACGTTCACCCCACACTCACTTCCCTTGTTTAGACTGACATCACTTTATTCTCAAACTTTGAAAGCCACGTACAAATATTGTGACAACTTGACAGGCAACTCCTTCTTCTGCCTGCTCTTACATGGGTTGAATCTCATGCCAATTCAGTAATTAGGTTAGTTTAATTTGCAGAAGTCTGGCTGGGTTTGCCCAAAGGAATGGTTGAAATTCCTGGGGTTTTTCCAGAGGCAGCAGGTCCGTGCTCCTCAGCTTCTGAGCCCCACAAACACGTCTCTCCTCAGGGGCTGGGATATTTCTGCACAGCAGAAGGGGGAGTTTGGGGTGACACACGGAGAGTCTGTGCCTCCAGGGCAAGAGGAAGGGGGTTCTGAGCTCTCCAAGCTGCCAGATCTGCATCCCTGTCACCTTGGCTGGTTGGGATTCATCCC